CCGACAGACATACAGTACATCCATGGACAAACTGACCGTTGAACCGACAGACATACAGTACATCCACGGACACACTGACCGTTGAACCGACAGACATACAGTACAGTACATCCATGGACAAACTGACCGTTGAACCGACAGACATACAGTACATCCATGGACAAACTGACCGTTGAACCGACAGTCATACAGTGCAGTACATCCATGGACAGACTGACAGTTGAACCGACAGACATACAGTACAGTACATCCATGGACAGACTGACAGTTGAACCGACAGACATACAGTACATCCATGGACAAACTGACCGTTGAACCGATAGACATACAGTACATCCATGGACACACTGACAGTTGAACCGACAGACGCTAGATCTGGGTCATCGTTGAACTGACAGTTTGTCAACGCGAGAAGTTCCGTTCAGACATAGATCTACATGAGTTTTTTCTCCTGTCAGTCCTTGGACTGTTGTAGCTAGCTGAAAACATCAACGACGTGGCTGAAGCAATTAGTTACATGGACAATTTGGCAGCATTATTTGTTCTCAAATCAAAAAGGAAATCTAGAAAAAGGAAATCTAGGCTAAAGAATGGCTACCACAAAGAAGTATCGATACACACAAATATTCTAGAGGAATTACGAGCCCACCCGATGGACTTTAATAACTTGTCGCGAATGGATGAGCCGGCGTACCTCTATTTTCTACAGTTGACCAGACCCATGATTGGACAACAGTCAACAGTGAAGGAAGAAGCAATCTCTTCCCCTAAAGACTGACAGCAACATTCTGTTGTCTTGCTACAGAAGCAACCTATCAATACCTCAAATTCCCATCTAGTGTTTCTGCACCACCGCTCAGTCCAATGATTCCACAGACATGCTCAGATATGTATGGTACTCTTCTATAGGAAAGTATGACGTCATTCAATATCTAAAACATATTTTTTTTCTTCTGTTTTGCATTATTTGGTGTTGTTTACGTTATGGAAGACTTTGTAGATTTTGCTAGTAATCATTCAGTTTCATGCCGTGACCTACTTCACGCAATAGAAAGAAGAATGATGGTTTCCAAACACACACACAAAACACACACAAGTTCACTTGGTAATCCATCACTACATTGAGTTTCCGTCGTGATTTGGACTAATTTGCGGTCGCTGATCGCGAAAATCTGTTCATTAATTTCTTTTAATTACCCCCCCCCCCCCCAACCCACCCTTGGCCAACATCAAAGAAGCCGCTCCCTCGTCGTCATGCCTTCAGTTCCCCGGCCAGAAGCCAGATGTCTGGTGTCTGGACTGAGAAGCCTTCCCTATAGAGAGGTTTGCTCGCTTCCACGCCAGGTTTTGCCTGGAAGTTGACGGGATGCCCGCCATTTTTTCAATATCTTACAGTTACAGAGTTAACTGCAAGGAGGGGAGGGGGGGGGAATACCCGTTTGTCCAGGTGTTGGGCTATAGTAGAACCTGTGTAGAACGGCCACACATTGTCCAGGTGTTGACATATAGTAGAACCTGTGTACAACGGCCAGATGTTGACATATAGTAGAACCTGTGTACAACGGCCACGCATTGTCCAGGTGTTGACATATAGTAGAACCTGTGTACAACGGCCAGATGTTGACATATAGTAGAACCTGTGTACAACGGCCACGCATTGTCCAGGTGTTGACATATAGTAGAACCTGTGTACAACGGCCAG